GTTCTGCTCGGCTTCAGTAGCAGACCCACATTCAGCGCCGCGAGCCATAGCAGGTAGGTTGGTTGAACGGAACAGTTTTATCTTCACTGTTAAGTGGTGGTCGAAATACGGTTAGAGCTGGACATTGCCGCCATTTCTTTTCTGATAATTTCCCGGTATAACGAGTCATGCGGTTCACATGGCGGTTGAGGTATGCATCGTTGAGGATTTCTTCGAGTTTTTCGCCATTCGCATAGACACAGCCCTCAGGACGCGCATCATAACGATTAATAGTATCAGAAAAATTGTCATCGTTCATATGTGCACATGATTCCATTAATTCTAATTATGCGAAATGCAGAAGATATAAGAAACAATCCGAAGTAACTAATCCTTGAGCTAGGTTTCGTGCTATTTTTGTCCATGAGGTTTTTGCCAAATGCCACAAGTAATGTCGCATTTCTGTGAGCAGGAACAGTTTCAAGGTTAAACTTCAATATCATCAAGTCAGCAGAATGCTGGAAATTATCAAGGCCACTACCAGTTTGTGAGGATGTATAGATCATAAAGATACTTGGTTCCCTGCATAACACTAAAAGATTCGTTAGCTGACCTTTATGAGTTCGTGAGAATTTCTCTTCTGACGCAAAATCTAAGAATATGCATTCCCTTGGTATGATGCCTCATACTTTGGACCGTATTTTAGACGCTGTGCTCCTGGCGCGGTGATCGAGAAATTAAGTATAGGAAGACAGACTTCACCTTACAAATTCAACTTTTTTCTATACGGATATTTAGCAGGATGCCCTTCTGCGCCGTTTGGTCAGGAAGTATGACGATATGGGCGATATTTATAAGAAATTGGAATATAATTAGATTTTCATATGTTTTGCCCTTATTCACTTTTATTGTCCGCCATAACTTTTGAGTCACAGAAACAGCTGTCTAGGGAAGCTGTAATCGATGATTCCGGCTTGTGCCAATCGCGAAGGTTCCGTGAGCTGAATTACAAGGTGTGACAGTGCCAGATCCTCTGTGTTACTTAAGTGATCTTCGTTCATCACGATTCTAGTTCTTGATCTATTTTCCGCTTTTCATGTGGCTTTGGCAAAAGAAGTTGTTTACATCTTTCCTTTGGCATTCTAATTACAACGCCATCGCAATTCTTATCTCTCGATTTGGAGAAGAATTCACAGCAGCTCACCAACGAGGGTACCTCGCACTGCTGTGCTCTCGTGTTTTATCACCCCTGCAGACCTTGGAAGTAGCCTCATTGCTATATTTCGACCCATGATCGTCCTGCGGTCAAAATTCAGCATTCATTATCAGAGTTGAGGATAGGTGTGCAGGCAAGCTTGAAGACAGCAAGCTTCACACATCTAATCAGGTTCTTGTTCACCACCATAATACCAGCTTAGCTAGCGCATTTCAGCGCTGGTGTTGCTGACCCATCTGTCCATTTTCATGCCCTGTCTGTCGTCACTCATGAAGGTTGACATGACGCGCTGATCGCTTGCTGCCACCTGATTCAGTTGCGTTCAACTTATGGACAGCGCACACTGAAAGAGGCCCTTCTCAGAAGTAAAAGTGTCTGGATTTTGGTGAGGTTGATTTTCTTCCATACTTCGTGGCATGTTTGCCGCGATCCAACTAAGTGCACATCAGAGACAGGCAGCTTGTGAACCTTATTCAAAGCAGTGCTAAACATCGAAAGACTGCTCGAAAGCGTTTTCCGCTCGTAAAATATTAGGAGAAATAAACGCCATGTACTTCCTCTGGGCATTAGCATTTCGTTTCTTTTTATTTTATTTCAGATCTTTATTTATAAACTATAGCGCGTAAACGCTTTCACCTGTTTGCAATGGATACTTGTCCAGTGGCTTTGGTCCATTATGCGTACGAATCACTGGTCATCTGTACTTTCCTGTTCATACCCGATCGAAAGAGTAGAGTACATTGTATGACTTTCTTATTAATGCAGAAAGCAGGATCAGTCAGGATGTTGCAAGCGAGAAACAGCGTAGTTTCACCATCAGCTCTGGCAGTTTTTCTTTGTTATTCCTCAAATTATTTTCCAGCACGGTGCCATGTCAACTGCATCATGACCCTTTGCCTTTCTTGGAATTTGGATCGACTAGAAGGATGTAAAATTCGACTACATTTTAGGCTCTGGTCGTGGCCGGCTTCGTGTTCATGACTGCTATGACCTACACCGAAATGTACCTTAACTGTTACTGTGCGATCGAAGACTTCCTGGTGCTGCGACACTTCAAATATACGCTGGCGGCGATCGGCTGCATAGTCATCCATAACTTTAACTACGTTTCACGTCTGAACTCTATCTGTAAGTTGGTAGCGGTTACGTGCTGCTTTTGGTACCTGACAACACGGAAAGAACGAGACTGTCATAATAGCGAAGAAGTGAAGACCACTAGCACCACCTTCTCGGTTTGAGCACGTCGCTCGGTGGCATGCAGTTCAATGGACTCCTCTCGTCGAGGTTACACAAGGCTACAGTGGTGTGAATAAAATGTCATTAACAAATTCTTTCTAACTAATTACTATAATATTCGCCTTCGAAAGCCACAGCACCTTCATGTGAGCTTACGAACAGATCACAGGCATGACCAGGCGATCAAATCGGCCTGTCAGCCTTTGGCCAAAGCACCATTCACCTGATTAAATCATTTTCGTCGGCGATGATATTTGGAACTGCCTCTATGATTTTGTGATTTTGTTTGCGGAAGGCCGAAGAATCGCCATTCACTAATCAGCAGCAAAGACAGTGGAAGAACGCTATTTGGCTGTTGGATGTTTGTACTTTGCCGTGTTTAAGGCGTACAGTCTCATGGTCTTCAGGAAAACCGAACAATCGAAACGACAGATCTGACTTCAGAAAACTCATAGAAAGCGATGGAACAATACCGGTAGGTTTAGAGATTAAGGTAAGACACGGTTAGAAGCCTGGAATAAAACACTTTAATATACGAAGCTTTCGGAACCCAGGACGGTGTTTCTTCTTCAGCACACAATAGCACATTTGCGACAAAAGGAAGAATACGAAAAACTTTTCAATGAACAGTTTATTGCTTGAATGAGATCGTCAAAGCATTCCATTTTTTAGCAAGAAGGAAAAAAATACCTGAGAATTATGCACGTATCACAAGACACAAAACCGACAACAGAATCGCACTCGAACACTCGGAGCTAACGAAAAATAGTTACTACGTAGTTACGAAGCAAAGGCAAACAGAATGAAGAATATGTCACACTGAGCAAATTAAAGTGTTGTTGTTTAACGTCCATGGGACTTAGTTGCCATCCTGCATGACGACAGTGTCTGTATGCTCTTTTGCGCAGAAGACTAACAGCGTAAATGTTCTTGAAATATTTAGCAGAAATCGTTATTGCTAAGGTCACTATTTTGCAAACAGTGAAGACGACGAAAAAAACGGGAATGTGTAAGCTGGAACAAAGTAATTTCATATAAAATATGACAAGGAACACTTTGAGGTTAGCTGCCAGGGAGGAGCATCCAAAATTCAGAGTACAGAGCAAGATAAGAGAAAAAACTACGGAGCGAAAGCGATCAACTGCTTGTTGACAATACGACGAATCTCTTAAATGGAGGTAGCAAAAATCACTTGCTTCCAATTAAGTATACTCTACTAGAGGCACCGTAAAATCAACGATTCTTTACGTGGGATTACATCATGTCTGACATAATATACAAATAGCTGTAACATCGCATCAGCTAAAAGTGGAGGGAGCTGATCTCCATTTCCACGCAATCAGCCATGAGTGCTTTATTTTTAAGACAAAATCGACAAGAGATGTGACAAGCATACTGTATAGTCTCCTATTTCCTTCCCATAGATTGGTGCTCAGTTATTAACCTCAAAAGGAAAAAAAAAGCCAGTGACTCGACCGAGGCTCGAACCTCAAATCTCACAGTTCAGCGACTGACGTTCCACCAAATTAAGAATGAAAGTCAATTTGATTATATTTAGCAGTTACAGCTGCAACAGTTATGCCAGGTTACCAGCAAAAAAAGACCGCTTCTTCCCTTAAGAACCACCTTTCACCGGATTTAAAGAACATTAATCTATTTTTATGACAAAATCAAGTATGTGTTTAAGGCTGGTCCGCAAATTAATGTTCAGTTACGTACTACGCGTATAAAAGACAATGCAAGTGAAAGAACTGTAAACATCTAAGTCGTTCTTTATTTACGATTAATATTTGAGACGGGAAACAGATACGATATCAGAGAAGAAACAGATAACTTCTTACTGCAAGTAGGCAACGACAGAAGTAACAAAACACTTTATGTCCATATAATCAAACTGCTTTACATATATAGGGCATTTAATCTTCTTTAACAACAATTCATTTAGAGGCAGTCTTTTCTTCCGGAAACCAACACCTTCAGAAGAATCATTAACAGGTAAGTGACGATAAGTGAGTAGAGCTGAGGGGTTACATTTTCAAGGAAAAAACCATCGTAAGAAATTCTTCATAGCTGATACGTATCCATCCGTCAAGGTCTGTGTCTTTCTGTCGGAATGCGGCGGTTAATGTCTAAAAGCACCGGATATTACAAACGTTGACCATAAGAAGTAAATTTACCTGCAGCACTATGCACATCTGTATAAAGTCGTCAAAATATATACTTCCGACACCACTTCGGTTGAACTTCATGATCAACAAATCGTAGAATGGCACTGACAGACGATAGCCTACAAAGACATATTCAGCGCGACGCGGAATAACAACACTCGACGTAAAAGCGAGCCGCTTCTGGGTACCGGACGGCAGAATGTATGGTGTTCACGGGGACAACACCCGAAGTTGCTGAAGAACCAGGAGAAACGACGGTTTATTACGTAGATTCCCATTACACAAATGTCTTAGCATATTAAATTTTCACATAGG